CGCAGTATGGTTTCGTGCGTAAGAGGTCTTGCTTATCGAATCTACTATGCTACTTGGAGGATGTGACGAGGATAATCGACGGGGGAGAAAAGGTCGAGGTCATCTACTTAGATTTCCAGAAGGCTTTTGACTCAGTAAACCATCGATTACTGTTAGCCAAGCTTCAGTGGTTCGGCCTGTTAAACCAAATAGCGGCATAGATCAGGGCAAGCACACTTAAAAGGACATTCAGGGTGCGTGTAGGAGAGGATATATCAGGGGAAGGGCATACGCATAGTGGGGTACCTCAAGGGTCAGTCCTAGAGGGTCTACTATTCGTGCTGTACGTGGATGACGTCGATCAGAACTTAGGGAACCTGTGCTTTAAGTTCGTTGACGACGTGAAAATCGTTGGCCTAGTTCACGCATCGGTGCAAAACGACCTGGACAAGGTCCACCAATGGGATACCGAGTGGGACTTGCCACTCCACGTGCACAAATCCGTCCACCCAGTGGCTGCAGGTACAGAGCACACTGTGCGGATTCTAGGGATGGGAAGCGATGCTACAGCAGTACCAACAAGGGCATCCACCAAGGACCTTGAAGTGGCAATCCAAGCGGACTTCCAGCCCCGAGCGCAGTGTGATAAGCTTGCCCTAACAGCATAAGGGACTCTTTACCAGCTGCGTCAAGTAGCGAGCTCAAGGAAAGCAGAGATACTGCTCCCTCTGTACAAGGCATTTGTCCGGCCGCACCTAGAATATTGTGTGCAGGACTGGAGACCGTACCTGATCAAGGACGCAAAGGTGCTAGAGCAGGTACAGAGGCGGTTCACTAGGTGGTTCCCTGACCTAAGGGGGAGGGAATATAAGGACAGACTGCAGCAGTTGAATCTCTTCTCTCTAGAACGGAGAAGAGGAAGAGGGGACATCATTGAGGATTTCAAAATCCTCAAAGGTCTCGTCAGCATAAACGGGCAACCGCTACTGCCACTTAGTGAACACCAAAACGTGAGAGGTCACAGCCTCAAGTTAAAAAAGAACCGTGTCCGGACCAGACTCCGAGCACAGTTCTTTACGGAAAGAGTGGTAAACGATTGGAACAAACTCCTAGAGGAGGTGTAGGGGCCACGTTAGTCGTGAGCTTCAAACACTGACTCGATGGCGTTTGGGAGCATATATTTGAGCCGGGTGTAGCTGAATGACTGAGCCAGCGAGCGAGATCGTAGTGAGGTCACTCGGCTGATAGGTTTCTCATGTTTTTCCTTTTTTAAATTTTTTTCATCCCGTTCTAATCTCAACGGAACTTCAATTGCTGCTACCGTTGGCGCCCTCTCGCTGCTTATGTTATCTCTGCTTCTACTTCCTTCCTAATCATGTCTGTCTCACTCCCCAGAACAACTTCACTCTTGAATGCCTCACTTTAACCTTGAACTTTGCAGGCTTAGCCTTTTATGATTTAGTTGCTGGACAGACCACCCGCTAAGTGGCTTACAGATAACAACTATGATCCTGCACGCACGAAGTGGAATTGGTGTCTGCAGGTCGGGACATCCGTGTCTGCTTACCTTATTCTAACAGAAGAGGAATTTTCATTTCTCCAATTGTCGCAACACCGGGGGATCGAAGGAGCTCACCAGTGTAAGAATCTGGACACTCTGGCAATTGCCTTCACGGTCCTGGATACCAACTGAACTGAACTAAACTGCGGAGGACGTCCATGGTAGAACCGACAGACTCAGAACTTAGAAGGCGCAGGACAATCACTACAAATGACCCATCGAAAAACGGGTTCACAGCTCGGGCGCTGCGTCCGAGAACAAAGCAAGAGTAGGGGGCTTAAAATGCCCAATTCCGGAAAAGTTAATTATGCCATGCGAAAATGCGTGCAGCATCCGGAATAAGTGGGCAGAGCTATGGGCCGCATCTGAGGAACTCAAAGCAGCAGTGACTGTTGTCTCTGAAACATGGTTATGTGAAAGTGACCACATACCACAGACCATCACAAACAGCTTTGAAATCCACAGACAGGATCGAGGGGGACAAGTGCAAGTTGTAGTAGTAGCCCTTCTTCGCAAAGAAACTCCTCTTGGACGATTGGACACGGAAGTCTGCACTCCTAATATACAGATGTGTGCTATCTCATTCATTTCTAGGACAAACAGCGCCACCATAGCCGGTGTGTACAGGAGTCCGGGAGCCACCGTAGATGAAGATGACCAACTGATAAGGGCGCTAGATGCACTAGCACAGTCACAACAGAAACTGGTAGTTGCTGGGGACTCCAACCTACATGGCATTCAGTGGGCCACAGAGACCTGCTCGGAGGATATGCCAGTGGAAAGGTTTCTGGAATGGATACACTCCAGTGCCCTCTTACAACACGTGAAGAAAAATACCAGATTCAGGACTGGACAAAATCCATCGCTCCTGGATTTGGTGTTTACTAAATACCAAAGGGACGTAGATCTCTCGTTTCACCCACCTATAGGGAAGAGTGATCATCTAGTGAAACAATTGACCCTCGAACCAAGGGAATACAAAGCGCCTAGCCGGAAAGTTAGGAATTTCAGTAACATTGACGTAAGCAGCCTGCAGGCGCTAACCTTAACCCTAGAATGGGGAGCAGAAAATGACCAGACCACAGTAGAGACCTTCTGGCATAGAATCAAAAGTAACCTACAAGAACTCCAAAACGAGTTCGCACCCCTTAAAATTCGGAAAGGCTGGAATAAGCCTCCATGGTGGTCTCCAGCAATAAGAAGAGCATCAAAGAAAAGAAACAAGCTGGAGACACTACAGGGAGGTCAGCACACAGTTGGCATGGACAAACTACACGGTCCAGAGAAATAAGGCAGTCAGTCTTATAAGAGTAGGAAAGAAAAATATGAACTAAAGTTAGCTGAAAACGTCAAACAGAAACCGAAAAGGTTTTTCAGGTACGTCCAATCGAAACGCAACGTGAGGGATTCCATAGGTGTCTTGGTTCTGGAAAACAACACGATTGCGGCAAACGACCACAGCAAGGCAGTAGCACTGGGCGAGTATTTCGCTAGTGTTCATAGGTTAGATAACAGGACACTAGAATCTAGATCCACAAACTTTCTTCCACTGAGCATAAGGGAGATGCAGATATCTGTAGTGGAGGTGTAAAAGATGCTAGGGGATTTGGACATCAATAAGGCCCCGGGTCCGATGGTATATATCCTGCCATTGTGAAGCCACTTGCTCAAATCTTAGCAGACCCCTTAAGGGTGTTGTTACAAAAATCACTGGAGGAGGGGATACTTCCGGACGACTGGAAAACTGCCGTTAGGGTGGCGTTACACAAAGGTTGTAGTAGATCAAACCCGCAGTACTACAGACCGGTTGGCTTAACTAGTATTCTATGCAAGTGCATGGAAAAGCTAATCAGGATGCACGTCTGCATCCACCTTGTAGAGTATGCAATACTTAGCATGGCCCAGCATGGCTTTATGAAAACCGGTCGTGCCTGACAAACCTCTTATGCTACCTAGACAAAAGCACAGAAAGGGTAGACGAAGGCAAAACAGTAGCAGTACGTTACCTAGATTTCAGTAAGGCGTTTGATTCCGTAAGTCATGGACTGCTTCTACATAAGCTTAGTTTTTTCGGAATCACAGGAACAATATTTAAATGGATGGAAACATTCTTGCTCAATAAGAGATTCTGGGTTAGGGTAGGAGAACAAACTTCCTTAAGTTCTCAATATCACAAGTGGCGTGCCACAAGGGTCGATGTTTGGCCCGCTTCGATTTCTGTTGTTCATAAATGATCTAGCAGAAATCATCAGCCCACCTTGCTTCATCTTCGCTGATGATGTAAAGGTGGTTGGACCTAATGAAAGAGCCCACTTAGAAGAGTATATTACAACGCTGCAGCACACATGGCAAGATGACAGCTGTTTCGACTAGGGTCAGCAGTTACGTGTAGGAAAGCAGAAGTATTTATGCCCATATACAAAGCCATCGTAAGGCCTCGACTAGAATACTGCGTTCAGGCTTCGTCGCCCTTCTACAAAAAGGATGCAGCCTGTCTGGAGAAGGTCCAGAGACTGGCAACAAGGATGGTTGAGAGTATGCGGGGTAAAACATACAAAGAAAGGTTGCACGCGCTCGGTCATTCTTCGCTAGAAAAAATGAGATTGCGCGGGGACCTCATCGAAGTATTTAAGATTAGGAAAAATCTGTTGGGTTTAGATCCTGGGTCCTTCTTCACTGAGGCTCCCCACCAAAGAACACGTGGAAATGAGCTCAAACTTATAAAACAGCGTTCTAGGCTGAATCTACGGGCACGTTTCATTAAAAATAGGGTAGTGGAAAATTGGAATTAGCTACCGTCAGAACTGATTATGCAGCGAAACGGCCAAGCCTTAAATGAGCCCTGGACACCAGATGGTTGGAGGTTTTCCTGACATAGAATGTTAGGTGCATTGATGGTTTTTATGTAATATGGAGCTCCTTAACAACAAAAACATCTCGCCGACACGGCGAGAAGTAAAGTCTCTCTCTGTTTGCAGATAGAAAGACAAACCGATCAATCGAAGAGGTAGACGCACACTCGTGAACACACCATCGAAGGAATTCTGGATGCTTGGCCTGTGGCCAATACCAGTCCTGTGCAACCTGACCTGACCTGATACAGGTATCAGACCAAATCATCTTGGACACCGCAAATAAGCTTTCTGAGACAGAGGCATGCAGCGAACGCATGATAATTTGGGGGAAGGTCCCAGGAGAAACACCCACAGCTGATAGGTTCAAGAATATCCTGGGTAGCCTCAAATCACTGGAGGCCCTGAACCGAATCAGATGTTCATATCTTAGAACAAAAACTAAGAAAACGATCGAAGGTATCTTGGTCGAGTTCAGCCAAAGTGCAACAGTTTGGCACTGTCTTACCCAGGCGAATATAATCAGGAGATGTAAGTATGTCACAGGAGTAGCCCGTGACATTCCTCTCCATGTCAGAAAATCTGACAAAAAACCTGGTGGTCTAAAGATGGATCAGAAACTGCAAACGCGTGCGACAGTCAATCTCACGCGACCGGATATTGAGAAGATACCACAAATCTCCTCTCCCCAAAAGGGCAAGAATCTAATCTTCGCCCCACTAGTCGCCAGCACTCCCGACGCAAGCTTCGCCGACATAACCGCGGATGAACCAACCATAGTCGGGATCCTCAACCGCAAGGTACTATCACCTATGAAACCAGCCCACGCTCCAGTAAGTGAGGTCAAGGGCCCAATCAAGGTGCCCACCTTTAGACCAACCTCTGGGTTGAAGGGGATACTTGATAATATACCACCTAAGACAATTCCTCCAGCTCCTTCCCCGGCGCAACCTGAATCTTACTTCCCTAAAACTAAAATCCTAAGAAACAATCTCCCTAGGCCAAAACCCGAATCGTTATCAAGTGTCGCCATGTCGCTCCCAGAGCGAAAGCCAAGACAGGACCGTAAGAAAAGTAAGACGCCCCAACCCCCTTTTCTACCCCCAATAGACCGCTCTCACCCACCAAACAGAGTGAAACCCCAGAAAACTGGCAAACCAATCCCGCTTGCACGCAACATGGACGCAAAACACATGACACCACTCTCAAAGAAGCTTCCACGGGTGCCACGACCCTCTCGGAGCAAAAAGGTCGAAATACCACTCAAAACTCTTCCAAGTCCCCGCCATTCTACTAGACCTGCTGAAATATATAGTGAGCAGGTGCTGAAGTGTGTATCAACTAACCGCCTCAGTATAACTAATAGAATCCTTGAACTGGGACAATTGACGAAACAGCACCGGTGAAGAAGTGTCGTCGGAGACAGAGAAGTGCGAGATACTCAAAAGCTTTTTTGAAAGCGTCTAAAAAATAGATGATGGGTGCAATTACCCCTCACACTTGCCACAGGTCCGAGCTCCTCTAATG